GAGGGAAGGTATTTCCTGGCGATAGTGACTAGAAAATGAACTTAGTGATTACTGGCCCAACCGCTCATATAACAATTGAGGAAAGTGAGGCCCAGAGAGGGGACAAGATCTAACCACAATTTCCACAACCAAGCAAGGTGAAAAGTAGGGCCAAAGTCTGATTTCTAAACTCCCAATCCAGGGCACCCCCTACCATACAGCTTTAATCCTGTTCCACCCTCATCCCCCGACTCTGCCTTATTAATGCCATGCCTCAGCTTTGTGATAAGCACTGGGAATATACAAAGAAGGATCAAGCAGGAGTTTCTGCCTTGCAGAGGCAGTTACAATCTAACTCAGTGTCCCCGCTACCAGTGTACTCACTGGTGCCAAGCGCACTGCTGCATTCTTCACTGACATTGTGTTAGGCGGGAAGAAACCTGGGAGATGGGAAGGCCTCTGTATCTGTCATTCAACAACAAACGCTTATTAAGATTACTCCATACCAGGCACAGTGCCAGCTGCAGAGCAGAAAGACTTAGTAGAGGCCTGCCCTCTGGTTCCCCGGATATGAGCTGACTAGATTCTGGGTCTCTCCATTCTGCCTAGGGCTGATTCAAGGAAGGAAGGATTCTGAGTTTCATAAGTATCCAAGAGGAGCCTGAGTTTAGTCTGCCTCCCCAGGCAGATGGCTGCTTCCCCTTTCCCCAGGACATTGCTGGAGGGGACCGAGCCCATCAGGACTAATTAGCTACTCTAATTGAATGAACCAATTTTGCTGGAATTTAGCCCAGGTGGGTGGAATATGTACTTTTCTAGATGGAGAAATGCTGAGTTCCAAGGAGTCTTGCCAACTGGGCCCTGAGCTAGAATGCATGAAGGAGTGGGGGTTTGCTCTCTGGGCCCAGGCTGGATCCCCAGCCTAGAAGCCTTAAGCAAGGAGGCCACAAATGGATAGGTCCACTCAGCTGGCCCCGGTCTTGTGATTCCCATGAGCATTGTTTTACATGCAGAGGCTACATGGGCCCCTACATCATTCTCTGTCCTGGGCCCAACCTCAGCCCTAGCTTAGTCTCTTAGTTCACTGCTACTGCATAGGTCTGAAATCCCTCAAGGGGATTGTGCCTGTGGGCTGGCATCCAGATCCCTGTGAGCCCTATGACTCTAATTCCATGGTTTATGAGGCCCTGTGTCCTATCCACACCTGAATTCCTGGTTTCTTAAGAGCTGGGCAACCAAAGGCCACATTTGGAGTTCTCCAGAGCCCCAAATATAACTTCATTCTGCTTTCAGCCCTCTGCCAGAGCCTTTCTACTCACTGGGTTGCCTTGGGCTGTCCTCTAAGGCTAGGTTCTCCCCACACCCCTACACCCCATCCCTGCAAGGCTCTCACATTTGATTTGGAGCCTGCAAATCTCTGTAGGCTGTGTGGAGTAGGAGGCAGGGTGAAATGAGCTAAGAAGCAGACAGGAGGCTGCCAGCCTTCCCTTGCCCTTCCTTCTCTTCTCCACCACAAGGGAAAAAGTTCCATCACCTTACACTCCAGAGATGATGTCTGATAAAGCAATTCAATTATGCTGGCTGAGAGGGAGCAAGGCATACTAGGGAAGGATTCTAGCTCCTTGGCTGAACCTGAAGGAGGAGAGGTCAGTTCTTGACAGGAAGAACTTTCCTACAAGGAGAAAGTGTAAGCACCAGTGGATAGGACCTTGCCTTGGCAGCCATGGGCCTGCTCCCAGGCCTGGAGACCGTCAAAATGAGGTGGGTCCAAAGAAGGAAGGTGGAGAAGCAACTGGATGGCACTTGTCAACCCAAAGACGCTGAGGCTACACAAAGCCCCTGATGTGGGGGGAAGGAGGGAAATGCATTCAGAGAGTAAGGGTCTTATGGGGGGGGGAGGCTCTAGAAAAGCTACAGGTGTTCAACAGCCCCGTCAGTGCCACTCTGGAATCGACTCTTCCTATTGCTTACTCTTGCTTCTGGTAAGGGAAACCCACGGTGGCTGACAGATGCTTTTCCCTGACGAGAAGAAAGCAGGCACCAGGAGAGGAAGGTGGGGGAAAGATAAAAAAGGGGGAAAGAAATTTGGGGAATTAGGAATTTCCAGCTGTGGCTGTTTTGCAGACTTACGTCTTTTGGCTACTAAGGTCTTGGAGGAATGGGGGAGGTGAGTGTTATGCTAGGAAAGATATATGAGGTGCTGGAACAAACTGGAAGCCCAGAATTAGTGACCACCTGCTCATCATCACAGCCCAGAGCGGAGGGTGAGGTCCAGAGCCAGGATGTCCTGGAACCACAAGGGGGCAGCACCCTCTCATCCACAATAGGTTGTCACAAAGCCAGCTGGGCAGGGGGCTGTCCCCTCCTCCTCTGGTTCTACGTTTGGGGAGAATGGCATGGCCTCAAACACACAAAACTGAGACAGGCCCCATAATGCCAACTGCAGCACACAGACTCCCCCAGATTATCTCAAAAAGGCCCAGGTAACAGGTTAGTCCAAAGCTCTAGAATAAATCCTTCAGCAAGCAGTGAGGCCTTCTCTAGAGGCCTCTGGCTTGGAGCGGAACTCCCCTCTCCTGGCATTCATCAGTGTGATGAGCCAGGGGCCCTGGTCCCATGTACCTTCACCTGGCTGCCTGTCCCAGGCTGGGCCCCCTATCTTCATCACCTCATCCTAGATTCCCTTACCTCTACCCTGCTCTCCCTTCCTTCCCTCCTGCTCTTCTTTTCCCTGACAGCTTTCTCCCTCTGCCATCTCCCCAGGTGCCCGTTACTATGCACAAGCACTGCACAATGGAAGCACCAGTTGGGCAGATTTATTAGGAGCAAGTGGCTCTGTTTTTTCACTGATATTTCCAGTGCCTGGAACAGTTTCTGGCACATAGTAGGTACTCAGTATTTGTTGAGTGAACAGATGAATCAGGTGTGGGATACTATGTTTTTCCCTCACCTACTCTACCTCCATGGACCTCCTCCCTTGCTCAGAATGATTGAGTTCAGCCAGCTTGACAAATTGGACAGGAGGCAAGAGATCCCAAGGGAGTCTGAGGACACAGACCAGACAGGACTTTAAAGTTATTCATTGCAGCCAATTCTTCAATATCCTATAGTTCTTCATTGCTCTAGGTTCTGGCCAGTGCTGGGTCTTCTCTTCCCAGTTACGTCTGTGATATTTCTTTTTGCAGAAACAAACTTAAAGCCTGCTAAATTCAACACATAGACATCAAGTTTAAGGAGTGGGGCTGGCCACAAAGGGGGCTCTGGCAAAGTTGTGTTTCTGACTAAAGTCTAGGATGGTCCTCACCTCCCCTGCACATTAGTACAGATCACCAAAGACATATTTTTATTTGGTTTTCTGACCTCATTAATGATGAGAATTGTTTATAAAAATTCCTTGCATTTGCACAGGGCTTTCATGAGAGCACACATAGGCCCTTGTTTTATTTTTCCCCTGCGTAGCTAGGTATTGCCTGACCTGGAAATCAACTGGTGCAAAGTGTCCAGGGCAGGTTTGTCAGTTACCTCAAATTTCTGCCTTAAAATCCTCTTTACATCATCCAGACACACGTGGGGGCTGTCTGGAGCTGGGGAAAAAATGGGGATTGAAGATGTAAAAGAGATTCTGGACTTAAACACAGAAAACAAATGAATCTGGAAATTGCTCTTGGGATAGGGCCAGTATAGTCTGGTTAGTGCCTAATGTTTTGGGTATGGCAGCTTCTCAATCACTTAGCAAACAGGTTCTCGGAGGAAGGCACTGTGGGAGCTATCAAGATGAAAAAGCACAATGGCCCGGAGGAACTCAGGGTCAGGAGAGGGGAGAGGAGACATAAACACAGGCAAAGTCAAATGAGCCACAGTAGGAGGAGGAGGAGGTCACAAGGCCAGACACCAGCACTTCCTATGTGCTCCCAGGGCAACCATGAGCAAAGACTTTAACCTAATGATCTCCCAAGGCCACCCATCCCACATCAATACCACATTTCTGATGGACAGCCCTGAGGACACGGTTTCCTTCCACCTAGCCCAGGAGCTGTTTCTCTCCCCAAGGCCGCCCCGTCCCCCATTCCAACGCAGAGGCTTTGATGACTGTTTCAGCATCAAGATTGTGGGCGTCGTGGGCCCCGTCCAAGGCGCAGGATGGGGGCGGGGTGGTCAGGAGGCCCCAGCACGGTGTCTGGGGAATGAGTGGGCAGCCTCCTCCTCACGACACTGCCTCTCCTAGCTCTTTCTTCCCCAGCCTCCAGTCAGCCGCAGTGAAACGGCAACAATGCAACCAGCTCGGTGGCGAGGGAGCGACGGACGCAAGAAGAAGAAGCGGGCGCGGAGGTTAGAGGTCAGGGGTCGAGAGCGCTTCTGTGTCACCCGGGCTGCAGTGGGAGGAGCTGAGGGCTGGTGGGAGGCGGGGAGCGGGGCCGGGGGACCCGCGGCGCGCAGGGGCGGCGCTCTGGCTGGCCGCCGGCGGCGAGAGGGTTACGGTCCTCCGCTGCGCTGGGCTCCGGGAGGCAGGCAGAGCTCGGCTGCCCGGGCGCTGCAGCGAGCCGAGTCGGCCTCGCGCCGCGCCCCGCCCACCCCGCCCCGCTGAGGGCGCGCCTGGGCGAGGCGGGGCCCAGAGGAAAAGGCGCCACTGGAGCTTGGTGTCCGCTGCCATCGCGGGAGGGAGACCGAGGACGCGTAGAACCCCAGCCCACCGGCGTAAGGCGCCCCCTCTCCTAGGCCACCTCGCGCCCGCCCCCTGCAGCGAGCCAAGGCCGGCGCCCCGCCCGGAGATGGGCAGACGCGTAGATGGCGTGGCTCCCAGCGCCGCCAGATAGCAGGAGCCCGGCGCCGGGGCGTTGCGCTGAGGCTCCAGTTCCGTGCGGCCCGGGAAGCCTGCAGGTGTCCTTGGCCGCTCGGCCGCCGCCGGGAGGACTCCTTCGCCAGTGCCCACAGCCTAGCTCCCGGGAACGGCCCCGCCCCCGAGGCTCGGCGCCGCGCAGGACGCCCCGTCTGAGGCCCCCCCGCCCCAGCGCGGCCCCCGCAGCGCTGCGCCAGGCCCAGCGCAGCTCCGGGCCGCGGACGCAGGACCAGAGGCTGGCGCGCTTGTTTTCCAGCTGCCGCCTCGCCCAGCGCAGCCCCCGCCCGCCTGTCCGCCGCGTTAAATTCGGCCCCGCCCGCCATCCTTGCCCTGCGCTGGATTTATGAATGGGGGGAAGAGGCCACATGCCGCCGCCGCCGTCTTGTGTTGACCGCACGCAGCCCGGGCCCGCGGAGCTCCGGCTGCCGTGAGAGCGTCTGCCGGGTCCCGGCAGCCGCTTGGAGGACTTGTTGCTGCTGCGCTGCCGCCGCGGGAAAACCGGTTGCTCCCGGGGCTCGGCGCGATCTGGTAGCCAACGGGTGGCCCGTGTGAGCGCGAGGGCGCGCGCAGGACCCTCGCAGTGCGCCCGGACTGTGAGCTTCCTTGTCTTTTAGGGGGTGGGGGGGGCGTGTCCCATCCTAGCAGGGGACCGTGTGTGTGCTTGCCCCTACCTCCCCCAGCCCTTCTCTTGGGTTCTCGACTCTGCTCTCCGTCTCTTGCTCTCTTCTCCGGCGCTGCCTGCCTTAACCCCAACCACCTGTGCACCCAAGAAACCCAACTCCTCCGGCTCTGCGCCCCGGGCGGGGGTAGGCAGGGGCAGGGCCAAGCCGCAGAGGGGGCCGCCACAGTATCCTGCCTCCTCCTCGTCTCCTCCCCCTCCCCCGTCTGACGCTGCTTCCTCGGGAAGGGTGTTTGGAGGGCAGCGGCCGCCCCAAGCCGGAGCCCCGCAGCGCTTCTTATGATCAGCTCGGTGTGTGTCTCCTCCTACCGCGGGCGAAAGTCGGGGAACAAGCCTCCGTCCAAAACATGTCTGAAGGAAGAAATGGCCAAGGGCGAGGCGTCGGAGAAGATCATCATCAACGTGGGTGGCACGCGACATGAGACCTACCGCAGCACCCTGCGCACCCTACCGGGCACCCGCCTCGCCTGGCTGGCCGACCCCGACGGCGGGGGCCGGCCTGAGACCGATGGCGCTGGTGCGGGTAGCAGCGGCAGCAACGGCGGCGGGGGCTGCGAGTTCTTCTTCGACAGGCACCCGGGTGTGTTCGCCTACGTGCTCAACTACTACCGCACCGGCAAGCTGCACTGCCCTGCCGACGTGTGCGGGCCGCTTTTCGAGGAGGAGCTCACCTTCTGGGGCATCGACGAGACCGACGTGGAGCCCTGCTGCTGGATGACCTATCGGCAACACCGCGACGCCGAGGAGGCACTTGACATCTTTGAGAGCCCAGACGGAGGAGGCGGCGGCGGCGGCGCAGGGCCCAACGACGAGGCTGGCGACGATGAGCGAGAGCTGGCCCTACAGCGCCTGGGCCCTCACGAGGGATGTGCAGGCTCGGGCTCTGGGTCCGGGAGCTGCCGCGGCTGGCAGCCCCGCATGTGGGCGCTCTTCGAGGATCCCTACTCTTCCAGGGCGGCCAGGGTGAGTGCAGGATCCGGGGTCTGTAAGGGTCGCGTGGCGGTGATGGATAGGGGCAGGCAGAAGCCCGACCGGACTTAACACTGCAGGTTGTTCCCGCCTCCCTCCCAACTCCCCTCCATGGCCCTCAGGGGAATTACACACTCCCACCCTCTCCCCTGCACGCTCCATCAGGAGATGGCACACACTTGTTTTACTACTTGGACTCATTCCCAGCTGCCTGCTTTGCCGCATCCCTTCGCAGTGAGTGGGGTGCCCTTAGCTCAGCTCTTCCACCCTCCTCCTTGGACTGCACAGAGCCTTCGGCTCTCTACACTCCTCCAGAGGACTACAGTCCTCGGCAGCTGGAATTTGGCCTGTTGCTGGGGACAGGCAAGGTTGAGAGGAAAGCAACTGGGATGTGTTGTGTTAGATGCTTCCATGCTGCATCACCTCCTTTAAATCCTCCCAGCAGCTCAGTGTGCTGACAACTTTGTATTTTAGAGAGGGGGGCATAGATTTTAGCATCTTTAGCTTGTAAAAGGCAAAGCTGAGACCAGACCTAGCCTTCTGTCCAGGAATTATGCCATGCCCCAAGGCTTCCTACACACCTGGGATGTCCTGGCCTCAGCTGGGATGAGAGGAGATTTAGATAGGGCTAAAAGGATTCGTTCTGGAAAATCTGGATTCGGTCAAAAGGCTGCACTCCAGGATACAGAAGGCCACATGTGGCTCCAGGGCTTCAGATTTCTCACCCCTGGTCTAGACCCTTCCAAGTTCCCACAGCCAGTGGCCAGCCACAGGCTTCCTGTGATACCAGATTGGCTGCTACGTGTTTTCTTACTGCTGCAGCAGAAATTGGCTTCCCGGAAAGCCCTGGTTCAGGTTACTGCTGGAAATGGGTGCATGGGGGTGCAGGAGGAAGCATAGGTTGATTTAGGCAAGACCTAGTCCCTTCCCACCATCCCTTCCCCCAAGTTAATCCAGTTTTCTTTAACCCCATTAAGTAGAAGGCGGTGGTAGGGTAGGGGGATACCCCATTATGCTTGGGTAGCTTTAGAAAAAAAAAGATGGCTTTAGATTCTTGAAAAAAGGAAAACTGATATTTAATATCAGGTGGGCAGCCTAAAGCCTGACTGGGTCTATTTGGGAGACAAGCTAAGCAATGTAATTTGTTGGGTCTGGGGACTGCTTCTTGCTTTGGAAGCTGGTTGTACCTCTGGCATCCTAACTTGTCACATAAATAATTCTCAGCACTCCTGTGCTGGGCCTCATTCTGGTCATGAAAGGAAAAGTTCCACTTCTCCACCCAGGGGAGGGCAAGGGATTGGGGAATAGGGCTGCAGGGAGGGGCCAGGCTGGCATCAATGCCAGACCAGGGCAGATGCATCTCTTGCCAGGAAGCAGAGAGAAGAGCAGAGGTCTCAGAGCTGTAGGATACCAGACTGGGGCTACAGGCAGCCACTAAAAGGCAGGGATCTTTTTTGGAACTGAGAATGAAGATAGAGAGTCCCACTGCCTTGTTTCTTTCCTTGCAGCCCTGAGACCAGCTCAGAAAGTGAAGGCACAGTAATGCCCCTGGCCTGGGTCTTCTGTGAGGTCCATGGGCTTCTCATGTAGTTAGTTATGTCTGCTAGTGTTGGCGTTTAGCTGTCTGCACTAGGGGAAGGAGTTGAGCATAACTAATTTAGACCTTTCAAAGTTGGGTGCAGGGGGAGGAGGTGGATTTAGCTTAGCAGAGATGGGGAAAGGGGACAAGCCAGGGAGGCAGGAATGAAATGAATTGGTTGGGGCAGGTAGACCCTATTTCTGAGCATTCTGGTGTCTTTGAGGACTTTGCAATTGCTCAGGTTCTTTCCCTTTGGGATTCCAAGGGGCTGTACCATCAGTGAGTTTATTTTCTCCTCAATTCACTGCAAAATGACCCAGCCAGGGCCCTTTTTGAGTAAGCCTGGCCTGCCCTTGGAGTCCTCCAGGAACTCAAGATCCTTTGTCCTTTTGATGTAGAATCACATCGGCCTGGGCATTTCAGTTTAGGTCTTAAAGTTTGTGGTGGGGAGGGGTTAATTCTTCCATTTAAGCAATGAAGAAACAAGATTTGGCAACACAATTAACAGCAGAGCCTGCAACTGACCCCTAGATCTCAGCCTTCTGGTGGTTAATACTTGTGGGAATAGCCACGTGGAACACTGGCTGCCACATGCACCAAAAGAGGACTTGCCTCCTGCTGAGGAACACAGGTGAAGGCAAGGCTTTGGCTGCTCCTGTGACATACAAATGGGAATCAGTAATTTAAAAAAATGAATTAGTAACTATTTATTGAGTACCCCATGCAGGTACTTTGCGGTATATGCTTTAATCTCCAATAAAGGCTGCATGCCTCCAGCTCAGGACTACAGCAGCAGCCGCTCATGGCTTTGCCCAATAAACTTAAAACAGAACCGTTATCCTCACTTACCAGAGAAGAGGTTTTAAGAGGGTAAACAACTTGCTTGAGATCGCACAGCCAGATAGTGGCCAGGCTTTGAATCAAAGCCAGAGTCTCTGACTCCAAGCCCTTGCTCCTGTGATTACAACATGTTCTTTCCACTGAAGTAGGCTGTTTTCGTAGCGGAGTGGTAGCTTGTTTCTTACTCTGACCTAAGAGGTGTTCTGACATTCTGTACCTCCTGTAGATGGCACCAGAAAACCCTGGGGCAGCTGGGGACCTCAGAAGGAACACATACTCTGCTGCCACTGCAGGCGTGAGGGCACAGTGCTGTGCTGGGAGTTCTAGGACTGCCCTCTGCCCCTCTTTACCTCAAGCTGGTATTGCTGTCCCTCCCAGCCCAGCCTATTCCCTGGGTAGTGTACTTCAGAGTCTCTGGCTCTCATAGGTCTGCAGCACTGCAAGGTAGGGAGTGAAGGAGGGCAGAGCCTGAGGTATCTTTTCCAACATGGCAGTGTGCATTTGATGGGAGCAAAATAATACAGAAAGTGAACTGAGCTGATTATGTGAGACTGTTGCCTGCTCAAGCAGACTCTGGGCCAAGATGCTCAACCCCCACTCCATTCACTGTGACCAGCCCATGAGTGGCTGCTGCTGTAGTCCTAAGCTAGAGGCGTGCAGCCTGGGGCATGGTGAAAGCTCACCTGGGTGGCTTCATGGCTTAAGGGGGACCAGTGGAGGTTTGGCAGCACCCAGAGTATAGAATCATGCCTTCCTCTTTTTCTGAGAGCAGCCCAGAGGCATGAAGGAGGGGGCCTTGGGATACTCCCTTCCCCTACCCCAGTTTCCAGACGTCTCAGGGGCTAGGTTGGCTTTAGCTCAGTTATCAGCCTTGTTAAGGATTATAGTTCTTGGCTAAATCAGTTGATTTTCCCACGATGTTTCCCTTGTGAGTAGTGAAGTGACCCATAGGACCTTCTGCTCCAAGAAAGGAGCTAAAGCTGGGTCTTCACTGTTATTAAGCAGCCACTATGCATCAGGTGTATGACATGTGCTTTTTACTACTCCAGGTGAGGCAGGGGCCACTGGCTTCAACTTGATGTCCTGTGGGGCTTGCTCAAGGGTCCTTGCTTATGCTACGATCCATGAGTCTAAGTCTGTGCTCCTCCCACCATTGCCTCCCTCAGCTGCTGCCCAGGGAGGGCCTCAGCTTCCAGAGGGCTCAGAGTACAGTCCCTCACTAGAGAGCTTCCTTCTCCTTACTCCTGTCAGCCCTTCCTTCCCTTTTCACTCCCTAGAATTGCTTAAGTCTAACGTCTGTCTTTCTTTTCTGTGTGGGCCTTGCATAGGAGAAAAGAAGGGAGGCTTTAGGAGTAGAGCTAGGATTCCCCTGGCCCAGGCAGAGAAATGAAACCCAAGTCTTCTAGGAAAGAAATGAGGGCTCTGTTCCTGCCTGCCCCTTTTGAAGGTACCTTGGCTTCTCTGATACAGGCATTGCCTGGGGACCAGGCAGTAATCACAACAGACTTTGCAGTGAGGGTCAGGACTCACTCATGTGTGCCCTCTGAGCAGGGTGAGCCAGGAACCTGAGCTCAGGACGCCTGAGCTCTGTCCTCTGCAGCCCTCCAGAGAGCAGTGCCACCCTGCTCTGGGGCAGCCCCTGTGTCTCCTCCCTGGGGGGGCGGGGGGGGGCCCCAAGTCAAAGGCCAGAGGGCTCCCTGCAGATCCTACCCTTGGGCAACCTCCCAGTTTCCTCCTAGCTTTGTTTTGTTTTCCTCTCTTGTTCTGAACAGACCAACATTCGCCTCTGAACATCATGTCTCTGGATGATGAGGTGTTTCTGTTTGTCAGCATTTGGGGTGGGGTGTGGAGTGGTGGAGAGGAATGAAATAAATTTAGGCTGTTTTGGAGCATGAGAGAAAGAGCAGGCAGGAGCAGAGTCAGGCAGCTGGGCCTTGGGAGCCAGGAGGCCCCCCATGTCCTTCACCTCCGAGATGGGCACTGTCAGCTTGGGATGCCAGGCACAGCACTTGTGCTATCCTTCCTCCCTGAGTACAACCAAGCTGCTGTGACCTGGTCCAGCTTCCTTCTGGGGTTTTCTTTAAGCTAGGAAGTGGTCACCAGGCTCCTGGTAGGGGTCCTTATCAGGAAGTAGGCAGGCCGGCCCTGGGGAACAGCAGAGGTCCTAGGCCCTAGAGATATCCCTGGGTACACCTTTGTCAGCAGAGCTGATCTCTCCTAATGACAGGCTCACCAGGACCAGGTTACCTGGCTCCAGTCATTCAGGAAACATGTGCTGAGCAGCTGCTGCATACCAGACACCAGGCTTGGTTCTAGAAATCAGCAGATGAGTCAGAAGTGGTCCCCACTCCTGAAGAGAACCAGCTCAGGTGGAGTAGGTGGTGGTCAAGGGAAATTAGCTGACAAGAAATGGCACTCATACAAGATGGGTCATGAGAAGTGTCACAGTAGTCATAATAAAGTTCAATAGGATGTAAGTGGAAGGAATCAGTAAATCCCTCCTCTACGTGGGATGGGGTCAGGATGTGGGGGCATTCAGGGATGCCTCAGCAAGGAAATAGAAGTTGATTTCGGT